CACACTGGTTCATAAACCTTATTTGATTCTGATTATTATGTGGACATTCTCAAGGTCAGTCTGGAGTTGCTCAAAGATTGTTCAAAAATTCTAGTTTCAATGTAAATATTCACCATTTTGTATTAATTTAAATTAGTTTTTAAGTTGACCAATCTTTGCGGGAAATGTCATGATATTTTATTTGGTATTTTGGTGAGACTCTAATTTATGAACGACCTTTGAACAAACTTCAAGTGACTTTGAGAAATTTCAGCCAATCAGAAAACAGTCGGTGTAGAGTACGAAACCAAAATGTTGGAGTGGATACATTTCTTTAACATGGTTTAAAAACATTTCAAGGTTAAAAAGAGGCTCTGCACGTATGAAATCGTAATGCATACGATACAATAACTCATCCATCTGACTCCATAATAGTCGACCTCTGAAGCCATGATAAGTTGGCAAAAACTCTTTTAGCCTCGACCACAATTCTTTTATATTATTTGTGTGTACTTCAGTGGTGGGGTCTACAAAATGCCGATTGTGGACGATGACACAATACACGTTACCAAGTCCATGAAAGCATCCATATGCTCTCCAGTCATCCGTGTATATTGTGGATGCCGGCTGCAGATACTGTCGTATAATTGGCATTATAGTTGTAGCTTGTCGGTTGCTAACATGCTGGAAGTATCCTTTATGAGATAGTACTTAGTATATGCCAAGAACCTGTTAAGTATATTTATGGAAATGCTACTTACACAGTGTTCTGTAATACTTCGTCCTTTATTCAAATTGAGTTTTCTAACGACCGTTTCATCTATTTCTACGATTCTCTCAACTCCTTCAATCTACTCATGAAAGCTTGTCAATTTTTATTTCACATATATCTCGATAATCCTGTTACTATTGAAATGATGAAGCTTCGATAACATCTGCAAAGGTTGCAAACAATGTCACTGGTGCTTTCATTATCCAGTTTGCAAGAATTATCATAATCAGTCTTAGTATCAATCGTAATCGGGCGAAAACAGTTCCCGTCTTAGCAGAATTTCTCCTCCAACATATATTACATCGAAATACAACATCATCACAATAGTCTGCACAAGGTTCATGAGTTATTTGACTGAGATCACAAATAAAGGATCTTCTTAGTAATACCATTTATTGTAGTCGCTCAATTATAACGTCTTTAAAATAAACTGTAAACCAACCGTACGTGAGCATTGGGTGCTGAAATAGACGCCGTGACCCTGCGATCGCTTAAACGCTTCTGATTGGCTCGTCCATAAATTATAGTCTCGACGGTATTTTAACTTGTGAAACGAATCTATAACCAGAGAGGGTTTTGTGGATATTATAGTAATGTAATAGTTGAATTCATGACTCAGTGGAAAATCTGGAAGCGCTGGACGGTTGTTTCGTAGTTTCGTTGAAGCTAGACATTAACACCATTGGATACCCGCTCAGTGGTCTGGAGGCTAAGCGCTCGCGCGCGAGACTGATATGTCCTGGGTTCGAATCTTAAGAGGCGGGATCGTGAATCCGAAGTGCTGTGAAGTCCTATACTAGGATGAAATGGCCGTCCAGTGCTTCCAGGTTTTTCATGGTAATCTAGCTTCAATTGACTCGTCAATTCGACTAATAAATCTATAATCTTTTAAATTATGAACTGATCATTAGAATGTACTTCAATGGCCTGACTTCATTGTTCTTTCATTTCTACACTAAATATTCTCTGTTCTCGTTCTCTTTTCTTCAATCTTCTTAACCATCTGCCACCAGGCATTTCACTTTCGATTGATGATATATACTACTTATATCTGTTGATATCAGTTGTTCATATCACAAGGAGTGCCTAAATTATTTCCTATTTTCAAGTTTATGTTCATTGATAAATAATATTTTTGCGGTTATTGAAGTTGATAAAGTGTATTACTGAATTTAAAACCTTATGTATAGATCACAGTTCTCAAAATATTGATCTCATCTACTATGAATTTTTTTGTTTGTTTGGATTGTACTTTTTATTATTCATCTTCTTTTTTCAGATATAGTTTTTAAGAACTAAAAATAAATTTCACATAATAGATGGATTGTACTTGGCAGTAATGGTTAGGACTCACTTCCCTGTATTGATGTTCACATTGGAAATCGAACCTATTAACTTTTACTTCAAACACCAGCTCACTATCGAATGGAATATTCAGTTCACAATTGATTAATCACTGGGTGGTGATCAATATCATGTGTGTCAAGTCCTTATTTGGTGCAGATCCAATGCTATCGATCATGTTGCAATGTGGCCACCAGTCTAGGTGGCTCGACACTGCATGCACGATATATTGAGATTAGATGGTGGTTTGAGGTAGTTGACAGGAAACCATGGACCCGGGTTTCGTGCTACTTGACACTCTTCAGCAAGGTGTACCTGTAATCTCGAGGGAACTGGTGCTCCCTGACGGATCCGATCCCGTTTTGCCCAGCTTTACAGTCAGTAACGTTTCCACTGAGTTATCCGGACTGCGACCGACCTCCTGTAGGACTGAGATGTAATCACAATTGATTGATCACTGGTTGGTGATCAATGTCCTGTGTGTCAAGTCCTTATTTAGTGCAGATCGAATGCTATCGACCAGTTCAGTTCAAATACCGACCAGCTTGTTCATAAAGTATGTGTTATAACTTGTGTCCTGTGCTCTTATCAATGTATAATATGATGATACTGCCAATTAGAGAACAGTGAATTGTCAATCGGACCAATGACGCATAAAACAAGTACGAGCGATCTAGAGTCTTTATCGGCTCTGTTTTCTATCTAGCCCTGCCTGTTAAGTTCAGAACACCAATTTCAGCCTCTGCGATATGAATCATTCTTTTCAAACATATTGGGTTATATACTAACCAGACAGACCTCTTCGTACCATAAAATAGGAAACAACATTCGTACAAGATTTAGCCAAATGTGGCTGTGGATGTGAGAGGTATTAATTGATAAACTGAGCATAACTTAAGAGTGGTAAATCGTACAATAATAGTTCATAGGTTAAAATAAAGCTCACAAGAATATGAATAGTTTAGTTACTTAACAATTACACGATAGAAACATATCTATCGTACTGGTTTATAAATGTATCCCAACAGTTACCACTCATCATTCTTATCGGGATATGACAGTATGATATTTATGTCCCATTGTTGCTAACAAATATCAAACAGGATAAAATGCGCGTACTTGATTCCTCCACTAGTCAAGAATCATTTACTTCCAGAAAAGTTGTTATCAAGAAGCTAGATTTAAGGAACCTAGTTAAGATGCATATGTGGTGACAATGACTAATTTAATTTCATTGCCCAATATCGAAAATAAGATCATTCAAAACTTTATATATAAAATTAATATTTATTCATAATTTATGACTTGTTGTTGGTACGTCTTCTGAGAAGAACAACGAAGCCTCCAAGGGCCCTAAAGAATTCGAAATGTTTTCACCCAATCAGAACCTGATAGAGCTTTCTAGAATATCAACATGGCATGCTACGATTGGACGGTAGCATAACTTGCCTCGCTGTGGATTACCTAAACTATAATGATGTTATAACCAAAGTTAGTAACTAAAAATACACATGATTTTCTGTACATTTTTGATTTGTACCTAATAATCACTTCTGTCGTGTGATTTTCGACTGCACAGTTCTATACATTCGAGTACCATTAGCTCTATTGATAAGTCTTGCGGATTGAACGCTATATTCGTCTCCTAAGCTATTCTGCAACCACCAAGCTAGAACTAGACAACGACCTGAACACGAGAGAGAAGACTCAAAGTACGCGAGAAGCAGTTTACTCCAAGGTTCATTTTAATACAGAAAATACAGGGTTTTTATAATATTTTAAATGTCTTTGAGTTGCTAGAAGATTCTGGAATGCTACTAAACATAGTAGCAGTGTAGCAAACAGCCAATCAGAGCCTCTACATGTGACGTTTCGCTTTCTTGATATTTTAGGCAAAAACTTCGAGTGAACACTGATTAGATGAAACGCTTCTTAATGTTTCCTGATGCTTTTGCAAGCAATTTTCTGGAACACCTCAACATCTATATCACATTCTACATTAATCAAATAGAGGATATGACACGTATTTATACCAAGTTCTAAGATTGAACTTTCTTATCAATTTAGATATTACAAATATAACATTTTTATTATTCATATTACAGATACTTTAACATAATTTCTCGTATTCACTTGGTATTTTTTGGCTTGTATCTTCCCATTGAGGTTTAACACTGCGATTGATCAGTCTGTTATTAGCATATGTGCATGCTGTGCGTATGCCTCGATATTGCTTTAATCCACAAGCTTTCTGTAAGCAATGACGGATAGTGGCTAGAAGTGGAATCTAGGACGTGCGTTCCGTCCTATTTGACAATATCGAGGCATACGCACAGTGTGCACATATGTCAATAACAGACTGGTCGATTGCAGTCTTAAACCTCAATGGGAAGATATAAGCCAAACAATAAGAAGTGAATTTAAATTCACCCCATTGCACAAACAAGTGGCTATCAGGAATCAGTAGCTGAGTGGATAACGCGATGGCGTTTGAAGCGAACGGTACTGGGTTCGAGTCCCAGAGTGAACATCAACTCTGAGATGCAGGTACATCCAGCTGACGAGTCCCGAATAGGATGAGACGCGCGTCCTGGATTCCACTGCTAGCCACTATCTAACAGTGCTTACAAAAAAATAATTTCTCCTATATGAAATATTAAAGGAAACTATTAAAACTTCTGAAGAAGTCAAGATAAGTTTGTTGGACGAAACGTTGTAATGATTCTAAGTTTCAATCACTGTGATTTATTCAAATGTGGCAACTTCTCTGTAATATACTTCTCTATGTTCTACTCTACTTTACTTCTCTATATTCTACTTTACTCTACCCTACTTCTCTATATATTCTACTCTACTCAACTTTTCTATATTCTACTCTACTTCTCTATATCCGTATTAAAACTTCTTTCTTTATTACATATTTTAAACCATTTTATTTTGATAACTGTTAATTATGAAAATGAACTGTTAGGTAACAAAATCATAAAACTTTTTTTCATAGATAACAATAACAATTTTCTCCATTCAGATTAAACTGTTTCCATTTCCATTGACCAGTTGGACATTTTGCATAGCTGACTACATCATATGGACTTCTATTAAACTTTGCCCTAAAAAATAAAAGAAAGAAAAAAAGATGTTTAGTAACTTCTAAAATATTTTCATTATTAATGGTTGCTGTTTATCATGAGAAAGAGATTTTGTGGAAATTGTAGTAGTTTAATAGTTGAGTTCATGAGTTGATTAAAGCTAGACCTACCGTGAAAGTACTGGACGACAGTTTTGTCCTATTATAGAACTCCTCACCATTTATCCACGATCGCGCACACGGGACTCAAACTCAGAATCATCGATCTGCCAGGTCGGCATTTAGTGGTGTTCATATCTAACTTCAACCAATCCACGAAATTACACCACCGCCTAGCATTGTCTTCAGTGAGTTACTGCCTCGTATCTGACACGGTTGAACTCCACTGGTCTCAGTTTGGTGGATTGGTTTAAGTTAGACATTAACACCATCGGATGCTAGCTTGGTGGTCTGGAGGTTAGGCGCTCACGCGCGAGGCCGATGGTCCTAGATTCGAGTCCCGCGTTCACGGTCGTGGATGTGCACTACTGAAGAGTCCCATACTATGCGGAATGGCCGGTCAAGTTTTCAAAGGTGTTCTAGCTTTAATCGAATCATCAAATCAACTATTAGCTTCCTGATTAAATATGGAAATTCTGAATCGAAATGTGCAATGATAATTCGTAGAATAAGTTATTGCAATAACACATATAAGTTATATTATTGATTAACTAGGATGTACATCCAATCAATTGAGAGCAAGTTAGTGTTATTATTTGTAAAGGAATATCAATTTGACATTTATTTCTGAGTTCATTAATTAAAATTTCACTGTTGATTAACAAGCTTAACAACAAAACGAAAGAAACATATTGTAACGCATTTATCATAAAGGTCTTATTAAAAAGTTGACAGATGAAGATTCTATTAGACATCACTACATTGGTTACTACTCAGTGATCGAAAAAAACCCAATACCCATTAACAAATTATTAGGTAGAATTGATTTACTATATGAGTTTTGTGAAGATTTTCTTAATTTCATAGTCAATATCACGGACTGATCTTGGTTAGTCGTAGTGGGAGGCTACGACAGGTAGAGATCAACCTTCTCTAGTAGGAAACAGTTGCAAACCAAATAAATTGGAAAGTAGTTGCGCTATATTTCAAACCAATGGAATCTGACTATTTAATCTATTAGATGCGAGCTCAGTGGCGTACAGGTTAAGTGTTGACGAGCAAGAACGAAGATCTTGGGTTCAACCCCTGGGAGTATAGTCGTGATGGCTTATTACCAAGGATTCTCATGCTTTCAGGTTTCTAACGATTGTTTAACTAAAATAAATTGTGATGCAACTATGATATTGGGAACTAGTTTATTTAATTTTTCTGATATAGAGTCATATAATAGTTATACTTTTATCTCAGTTTGAAATATCCTATTTATCCGATGATTTTGTTGTTCATTTTAGCCGAGTTACCATTTTTACGAACCTTGACGTTTGTTTTCTGTTATCCTTAGACAATCCAGTCTCTAATTAATTGGTTACTACAAATGAAGTCTAAATAAACTCATGGCAATTGTTAGTTTGTTATGTTGTTAATAATTACCTAGATCTAATGAATATTTAATGAAACATAATTATGTCTATGGTTAAAACAACTGAATAACATGGCAATCTGTAATTACCCAGGAGCGTAGTTACATACTACAAATACACCATATGGGAACCGTCGAGTTTTTGGACAATAAGTAACACCACATCCAATGTGTGTTGTTCCATGCCATACAATCTAAATTAACAATAAATAGATTGTAAACAATATTATATAGTATAGAATTGAAAGTTTATTTTGTGAACAAAAGGTGAAATTCTGAAAGCAATTTCAACGGCGAAATAATTTCAGTTCAAGTCAACTAATTTACAACAATTAGTATGGAAATCCCAGTTCTACTAGGAGTCCGTTTTTGTTTGAACAGTTTAGTAATAAAATCTTATTAAATAAAATTGAATGATGTAGATTATAAATCTAATATCATCCACCAGTTCCTACAAGATTCTGGATACATATTCCTGACACATGTCAACTAGAGTTAAACTTGATTGTAAGAATTCAAAACACCTGACATTACCAAACACGTTACATCAAAACATAGTGTTCCTATCACTTAATGCAGTTTACTTTAATCTTTTCATTGTTATTTAGGACTGCAATTAAATGGTCTCGCGATGGTATATGTGCATATATATGTATAGTTTAACCTCAATTTGAACGATATACTATTTTATTGGATGTATTTCCATTCTAATCATGTTTTTGTTTCCATGTTTCTTTTTAACAGTAAAAATGTAAACATAAATGATTCTATAAACTGTCTCAATTGTATATTATTATGTATATTAATGTTCATTTTCAAATAGATCGGAGTAATATAACTTCTGAAGATCTTCAAAGTATAGAACAATAACTAATCAATATTTCCAATTCTTTAATAAATGTCTTTAGTAAAGAAATCTCTTATCAGATAACGAACTATTAAGATAAATGCCCCTAAATGTCCTGGTATGGCCAAAAGTGGGGAGAATCAGCTCTACCTGTCGAAACGCTCTCACATAGCCACGTGCATACAGCCACTGCCAGGGAATTCCTACTCACTGCCTTCTCGCGATATTACTGTTGTTTGCAAAATTGAGAAGACAAAAAGCGAATGTCCGGGTTGATAGATATGGAGAATCTACCTAGGGGAGTTGGAAGACCCTCATTCCGAACTAATGATGTACATGGGCTCCATTATCCTGAAGGAACAAATGACGTGTGAACCTGTTGTTGGTCACCAGCTACCATGGGACTTGATCTCTTAATGTTGCTCCACTGTCTTGTGGATTAGACCTTGAGGTCACGAAGCCCTAAGAAAACCACCACCTTCGGTTTGGGCACTCGGATAATATCTCATCCCTTACACAAATCGAATGATTTATGTGTTGCATATCTATTTGGTGCCTCCTTCATACCAATGTTTATGTGTTTAAATAAATAAATAATGAAATGAAGACAGATAGATAGTAAACAATCAGTTACCAAGCAACAATTCATGAAAGATACATTTTAATTAACAGTTCAAATAATAAATCCTTTTTTTCATATTACTAACCTGTACATAATTTCCACATGAAGTTGTACATGTATTATTATCAAAATTATAATGGTTATGTTCATTAACCCATTCATTCATAGCACTTTAAATGATCAATGAATATACCCCCCCAAAAAAGATATTATAATAAATTTCTAACATACATTTCAACACTAGCATAAGCTGCTATATTTTGTCCAACATCTTTAAATTTCTTAGTTGTTACATTGGAGAAACGAAAATTACACGTTTTTGATAATGCAGCCGCTTTTAAAGCCAATTCATTATCCCATATCTATAAATAATATAAGTAGTATAAAAATACATTATGAAAATTATTTTACAAATGAATTTTAAAAAAATAAATTATCATTTATATTATGTTTTGAATAGTTGAGATTATGAAACTAGACAACTATGGAAGTACTGCACAGCCATCTTGTCCTAGTATGGGGTAATCCTATCCAATGGGATTCGAATCCAGGTGTTATCAATCTCGCGCACAAACAACTGACTTCCAGACCACTAATTCAGCATCTAATGGTGTTAATGTCTAACTATAAATAATCCAAACTATGGATACTTTGCATCAATACAGAACTGAAACTCATCCTATCATATATATAATATATAATATAAACTAAGCATAATTTTCCCAGTAAATAAAAGTTATCAGTTTGGGGGTTGTGAAGATTTTTAAGTTTTTAATTAAAATCATGCGTCAATTGAAGCTAGACCACTATGGAAAACCTGAATACACTGGACAGCCGTTTCGTCCTAGTATGACCAGTGGAGCTAATCCGTCTCGGGTAGAAACAGGTGTCTACCTCAGTACAATGGAAGATGGTCGCGCAATTTCGTGGATTGGTTAAGGTTAGACATTAACACCATTGGATGCCGACCCAGTGGTCTGGAGGTTAAGCACTCGCGCACGAGGACGAAAGGTCCTGGGTCCGAATCTCGAGGGGTACGGGATCGTAGATCCGCACTGCTGAGGAGTCCCATACTTGGGCGAAACAGCCGTCCAGTGCTTCCAGGTTTTCCATGGTGATCTAGATTCAATTGACTCATGATTTCAATCAAAAATAAAAAGTTAATGAATACTCTAGTTTGTACATATTTATGAAAAAGAAATAAATTATAATATTAATAATACCTACAAGATTAGGTAATCTCTTAGCTTGTGGTTGACCTGTAATATTACAATCACGAGCATTTTGACGAATCCGATTATGTGCTTTCAATAAATAATCTAAATCTTTTGTTAATTCAATTGCCAATATCAATTTATATAAGAAGAAAATAGTATAGAATGAAAATATTAAATGTTGTTGCATAATACTTCAATAATGAATATACTTTATCCATCAACGTCTATATATATATATATATACAGAGATTGTTTATGTCACATGATTAATGAAGCAAATGATTAACCAATTATAAACGTTTTGTCATTGAAATCATATAACAGATGCCAATTTCATTAAGATAATATAATTATGAAGTGAATTTGTTGTGGTTCGAATCTGCTTATCAGTGATAAACAGTTTAGATTGACAATGGAAATATTATTATAAAAAGGTTAATATATGTAATAATCAATTATGGGTACGATTATTTAGTTAGTTATGCTTGTTACTTCTCATGCAAGAGCGTATCTTTTTTATAGCGAGTTGGTTTTCTACGGGATGCGGTCGTTAATCCTATGCCTAAACCTCCTCCTTTACATGGGCTTGGGATTGGCAGTAACTCTGGAAGAGCTACAGGCGGAGTTATAGATGAGATGAGTATTTCGAAAATAATTAACAAGGGTGTTATACAACTTTTACTTCGTTTTACAAAGATCATTGTCAACTAGATCACTGGGCTGTTGTATGTCAGGTAGAGATAGGTATCTACTTGAAACAATGTAGGATGGTCACACAATTTTTTATATTAGTTGAAGTTAGACACTAGCAACTTTGGATGCCAATTCAGTGGTCTGAATTCAAGCGCTCGCGCACAGGAACGAGAGTTCTGGGTTCGAATTTCGCGTCTAGGATCGTGGATGCACGCTGTTGATGATTCCCATACTAGGACGAGTCAGTCAGTCAGTTACAACGTAGGACCAGGCACATACATGCATCGGTCTAAGTTGCCATACTCCATTAGCACAACAAGATGAACACCGAATTCATAGAAGCAGTAAATCCAGTGGTGGTAATATTGGAAAGAAAGATTGCATATAAAGACATAGTACAGGAAGAAAGAATTAGTTCGTAGAAAGAAATATGTGAAATAATTTTAATCTCATAGTTTAAGGGAAGACACAGAGTGTATACACCAACGCCATTTTGTTCGATTCTGAGCCATGTCACACAGAGTCAACAACCAGTGGTTACGATAGTCACGCGGACCCCAACCAAGTAGACTGCATCTATCAACATGGCTCAGACTCGAGATTAGTTACTTCAAGCACTAATGCCACGTTTTGGTTTGGCCGCCCCTAACTTACTTCCAACCGTCTTCAACACATCAGCATTGCGTGTCGTGGTAATTGGTGTTCAGGCATATGCAACACGTTGCCCAACCATCTCAGTCGATGAAGATTCACAACTTCATCAACTGATTTGCCATCAACCCCGAATACCCTGCATCTAACCTCAATACTACTTACCCGGTGATCCCAGCAGATGCCAGCAATATTTCTAAGGCACCTGTGGTGAAATACTAATAGCTTACGAGTATCTTCAACTCTTAATGACCATGTTTCTCAGCCGAAAAGTAGCACAGAACGAACTGCCAAGTAGTATACTCGGCCCTCAATTGATAGACGGATATCTCGCCTTCGCAATAGGTAACGTAAGTTGAAAAAAGCCAAACGAGCTTTTCCAATCCGTTCTAGGACAAAGCGGTCGTCCATTGCTTTCAGGTTTTCAATAATGGTCTAGTATTGACCAGTTCATGATCTAAATAAAAAAATAAAGTTAACATCTTGAATGAATGTCAGCAGGGTTTTTTGCTGACGGTTATAAACCATATTAAAGATATAATGTAACTGATATGCGTTAAAATAACATAACTATCTGACCATGGCATTGACAGGTTTATCACACCCTCTTTCTATATGCAGAGGTCGAATCGAGAGCGCTTGATGGTAATGGTCTCCTTAAAACGGAGTAAAAGTGGTATAACCCCCTTGATAAATATTTCGAAATACTTTTGAGACATTCATTAATTTGAGAAGGGGTTTTGTGGAGATTGTAGTAATTTCAATAGTTGAGATCATGAGTCAACTGAAACCAGACTACCATGAAAAACCTGGAAGCACTTGACGGTTTGAGTTTGAATCTCGCGAGGCGGGATCGTGGATGCGCACTGCTGAGGAGTCCCATACTAGGACGAAACGGCCATCCAGTGCTCCCAGGTTTTCTATGGTGATCTAGCTTCAATTGACTCATGTTTTCAACTATTGACATACATTAATTGTTTACTCATTGCACCTATGATTAATTAAGATACATATTAACATTTCTATTAATATTTCTATTGTGAATTTAGATTGTTTGTCATTGACGACAAGCCTTGAAATATAATAAATTTGTTATTCTGCAAATATGGTTCTCCTTGCTTATTTTCAAAGTTTTCAAGGAATCGGGATCTGTGATATTTGTAATAGACAAACTTTGAAGTTCATAATCTTGTATGTGACACGTAAGGAGATAAACGATACTTTAACCAAATTTAAAAAAACAACCTTTATGATGACAGTTCTACATAAGAAATCAATAATTATGAACGAAATTGGAAAACGTCTTGTTCCTGAATAGTCATTTACTTTAGCTAAACTGTTTCTATCACAATTCTACCGAAGGGGTATTCATAGTTTTAGGTATGCAGGTTAGGTTTAAAAAAAATCAATATAGCAACTCAAAATTATCGACGATATGTTATGAAAAGATTGATCTAAGGATTATATCGTTAACAGATTACTGGATATTTTATTATTTAGTAATTGAAAATCAAACCCTATTCTTTTTACTTCCATCTACTTAACATCTCAACTCATTTGGCACTATATGAAATCACTCAAACTAGTGTTTACACTGTAATGTGATCAGTATGATCCGATCAGAGAAACATAACTTTGGTCATTGTTTAGTAGTTAACCAATTTTAAATGCTTTGCATATCTTTGCAGATTCTAATAAATATATATGAATTAGTTGATGGTGTATTTAAATCGTATAGTGCTCAGTATAAGTTTGACATGGTCTTACATATCTGTCTAATCATAAAGCTTTGAACAAGTTCATTTCATTTTACTCAGAATGGATGAAACAATAGAAAGGTTTTGTATATTTAAAAATTTTTTACATTCATTCGTTACTTAGTTATATCTAAACATCTAAAAAACGATGAGGGTCATTAAACATATACTGATGTGAACAGGGAAACAAGAATCCCTGACAAACTACGAAAGCTATTTTTTGGGACGTTATTTCATTTTATGCAAAGCTTGTAAAACATTAACATTTATTTTTGTCCCTAATCTATTCTACAGAACATAAGCTTTCGTTCGATGTATGATTCATATCACAGAGGCTGAGACTTGTGTTCTGGACTTAACTGGCTGGGCTAGGCAATCGATAAGTCACTGCTCTCTAATCGGCGGTCACAAGTTAGAACATATACAATTAAATGATTTGATTACTTAAGCAATACTGATGTATTAGATGGGAACTAACATATTGTCACAGTTAATTTAAGACAACACTTTTGTTTCCATACTCATTTTAAGGGTGAATGAATATGTTAAATTAATTATTGAATACTGTCAAGTGTATAAATGTTAATAGATTAGTGATTACAATCAAGATTACGGAATAAATGATAAACTAATGGATTGCTAAATATTCAACACGGTTTATTTGGAATACATTATAGAAATCAATAAATAAAAACCCCATTTGTTGTTATTATCTGACATGTAACTAGTGGAAGAAAGAAGTGATTTATAACCAAGTGTGAATACATTAACACTCTTTTTAAACAAAGATAGATAGTGGATAGCACTGGAATACAGGACGCGCGTTTCGTTCTATTTGAGACTCGTCAGATGTATGTACTTACATCTCAGAGTTGACGTACACTCTTGGACTCGAACCCAGTACTGTTAACTTCAAACGCCATCGCATTATCCACTTAACCACTCAACTAAACATATCTTACAGTCCTTACAGTAGATTTAATTTCAACTATGTGATTATCAGTCTGTAGGAATTAAATATTGTGGCGTATCATAGAAAGATAGAACATCTTAACATTGGATCTTTACGTTAGTATAAATTTTTATCATGATTGTATTATACGTCTTTCTCTTCATAACTGTCAACATGCATTGAAATCGAAATAATATAACGCTAAATAAGCTTATTAATTCCAGACTACTTAGTTAGGGTTCATGCAATACTTGTGATGTTAGACATGACACTTCTTTAAACACGTAAAAGATTAGATGAGATCAGTTTTTATCGAACTTCAGATTCTGAACACTTTAAACTTATCACAGATCTTTAATTTCGTTAAACCTGCCATCATGAAGCATAATTGTTACTACTACTACTACTACTACTACTACTACTACTACTACTACTACTACTAATACTACTACTAACACTACCACTGTTATTATTATTACTTTTACTATTATTACTACCACTACTAGTACTATTATTACTACTACCTCTACTACTTCATTTGCAAAATATCAATCAATCGTATCAGACTTCATTGTTCTTTCATTTCTACATCAATTATTCTCTGTTCTCATCCACTTTTCTTCAATCTTCTTAACCATCTGTCATCATGCATTTCACTTTCGATTGATGATACATACTACTTATATCTGTTGACATCATTAGCATACATCACAGTAAATCAAAATTAACAAAGATAATTTTATTCTGCCATTTTATCATTATCATAACGTCATAGAAACAAGTAAAAAAAATCAGAATTCTATATTCTATATTTTCATTGTCAAACCTCTATGTATGTCTTGTTTTGACAGTTAACTATGTTGACTGATTCTTATTTTAAAGTGTAAACAGATTAGTTAACTTTCATTTTAGAAAAAAAGACCAAAGTACAGGTAACATGGTCTAAAAAAAAGTAGATTTGTATTAACAAGAATTTGGAGTAAAATAGACTTCAATGATCATCAATATTGCATTCACTATTAGAAAGATACCATCTACTTAGGTTCTATGTAAACAGAAAGTCATCTACAACTATGCCTTTTCATTCTGTTCAAACTATTGTGACAGTTGAATATACCAATTTGAAACGATCTGTACCTTGATTAGTATA